TGATTACATAATTAATATTAATCATAACAATCAGGTGGTTAAGGATTGGCCATACATTTCACCAGGAATCCAGCCACATTCCCAGGGAGGCCCTGGAGTGGATCCCACAAAGAACACGAAAGCGTGGCCGCCCTAAACAAACCTGGCGGCGTTCAGTGGCGGTCTTGAAGGTAATCGGGCTGTCATGGTCCGAGATACAACGCAGAGCCCAAGACAGCGAGCTGGCGGCGTACTGTACGCCCTCTGTCCCACTTTAGGGACATAGGAATGGGAGAGAGAGAGATAACAATCAGGTCTAAGTACAGCTAAGTGTTTAATATCAACATATACCAAAAATGGCAAATTATTTAGCAGTCAATAGGCAATATGCATATGACTTTTGTTAACTAATGAGATACTTTATTGTTTTTTACATCGAAGTGACATCTGAGCGAATGTGATGAATGAAATGCATTAAAATATGACGATTGACGTCAATTGTCTCATGACAACTCGGGTCGCGTTTTAGTCACATGAAAATGGTCGTAATTTTATTTTATGATTTTTAGCTCAATGGCCGAATATTTTCGCGTTAATTTTTTTTCTTTTATTTTATAAGAAGTAGAATCGTTTAAAAAAAAATACATGCATATTCCCTATTAAAGTGGTACAGTATTTGCCAAAAGGAAATGACTACCCCTTAGGTAACTGTAACCATTAGCAAACCTGCCATGAGTTCAGGATGGGGCAGCCATCTAATATACAAAGTACATAACAATTATTTAATTAAGTAGTAGACTAGCTTTCTTCTGCTTCTTCTTCTTCTTCCGTAATTAATTACAAAAAACAAAATTAAGTAGCTTAAGTGTTCTTCCTACTTTCGACATCTATTCAGTAATTTTGGATTGAAACATTATTTTCCAACTATGTCAACTTGCAACCATGCAATTATATTAGTAAGTAAGTCTAGGAAGCAGTGTGTCCAGTACAAGTTTAGAAAATGTATTTGAATTTCTACAGATGAATATATATTTTCAGTCTTTGTAGGTTTAAATTAAATACAAATGCAGGTATCGCTGGTGAAGATTTAACAAACAAAGTTAAGAAATTGGAAGTAAGTTAAAGGTTATAGTAATTTATTAATTCTTATTAGAACTTAAAGAGATGACTTAATAAATTATTATATGAACTAAGGCTGGTCTTGTGTTAACAAATTCTATACGTGATAGTAAATTTTATGCATAAAATCTATAAATATAAGGTCTTTTTCACAATACACTAGAAGGCATAATAAAATTATTGTTATTACGAAATATTAAAAGAAAAATACCCAAAAGCTGCTCCTAGTGGACAGAATTAATCGATTGCAATAATTCCCAGCTTCCATAAATATCTTCTTAATTGTTGAAGACATTAAAAATCAGTAAAACCACCGATTATCAATTATCACTTTCAAAAATGTCAGGTTATTTTCTGTCCAATTATTGATTTTACTTTGACATTGACGTTTGAGTGTTGCCCGATTAATCTACATTTCGTTTATGTTTAGAATAATAACAAAATACTCAAACAAAACCCCCTCGAATAACATATTCGCTAAAAAAATTAGAAAAAAATAGTTTTTTTTTCCAAAACTCCAGTAAAATATTAAATTGGAGAATTAGAAAATATAACGATATAAAAATATATCACTAAGACAGTTATTAAACCAAATTGCCAATTTAACAAAAACAGCTTTTGTTAGGAATGAAAATTGCCTTTCAAGAAGGAACTAGAAGGAAAAATACAACAAAGAAAATATTTTGTATGTAACAATGAAGGCTACAATTCTTTGTATTAATTTAAAAGGAATTAATTCTAGGTACAGACATTATTCATAACGGAATTAAATGTAAATATATGATCAGTTATCTTCAAGATATACGTCATAGTGGTACGATGTTATGGCAAGAGAAGAAAAAATACATTTCCTTTGATTATAAAAAGGTAACAGCTACTGTAAGATCAAAATTAATTTACCTTGGCCATGGCACAATTATTCTCTTCTTTACAGTCAAAAGAACTAATATTTTAAGTTATTAAGACAAATTGCGAAATACACTGAGATTTTAACATACACTAGACGTCTGCACTGCGTAGGCTAAAAATATAAACTGGCGAGTTGGCGAGCGAGCGAGACGTCTGTTGGTAGAAATTCGATAGGGCGACATTATCACATCGCCTGGTGTGCGAGCGAGAGAGATAATACTTTTTATTCGACATGCGGAAATTCACGAAAAGGGAAAATCAACCCTTGTCGGTGGTCGTCGGACAAAATGATTCATACTTATTAAGCGACTAATTTAAAAAGAACCATATCAACAATCGAAGTATTTTATCCGATACAACGTTTTAAAGCAGTAATATTTTCTTTCATAAGAAAACAGTAAACAATGTGAATCATTATTATGCAGTCAGTATATACGAATAATAATTAATTGTATTTATTTGCTCCCATCCCATATTTTGCACAATCAAAACATGTTTTGATGGTAATTGATTGTAATTTCTCGGAAACACGGTTTTGTTATTTCGGTAGTCAATATTGTTTATCTGCATTTTGCATTCATAATGACGTAGTCTAATGAATCTCTAAAATCATTAACGGTCTAAAAATCAATGATTTTCAAGCCAAGGCTGTCGGAAGCCGTACTTTAAACAGCGTATAGTATGTTTAGAAAACATTGCACGACTAAATTAAACGTGACATGTATTCCGAATCCATCGTAACATTCATAGCTTGTCAAACAGTTTAATCCTTTTGGTCCTTAATTAAGTCAACATAAGTTCTTTAAGGTTCTTTAAGGACACTAAGTGACCTCTTTTAAATGAATATATAATAGGAATATACTAACAGCCTTACAAATTACCGTGGTATAAAGTGAAACTTAGGAATAAACTGAGTATAAGCAAATGTTATAGTGTGTCTATATATCTTACTTTTAGATGGATGGATGGATGTTGGTTAGCGTTTGTAGCCTAAACGGCTGAACAGATCTCCATGAAATTTGGCACAGGTTTAGAGCATAGTCGGGAAGAACACATAGGCTACTTTTTATCCCGGGAATAGTTACAGTTCCCGTGGGATTCATTAATTTAGTTTTTTAATGTTTACTCGATCATTCTGCAACGGTTCAACATATCTTATTGAAATTTGGCACAGATATAAAACAAAGTCTGGAGTACACATGGGATAAGCTTCACCCCCGAGATATGTCCGGTTCCCGAGGGATCCGTAGTTTTTTGTAATTTATATAGTTCGTGAGTTTTCTAATATCACGCGGACGAGGTTGCGGGCAACAGCTCGTTTAGAATAGTTTGACAATTCATTTCGTTTCATTCAGTACTCCATCTATTTTATAGTTTATATTTATTTATCTATGATTAGGAAATACAATCTTTTACAATATAATCATTATTACAAACGACTGTATATTTATTTGTGTTCAAGGACATTCTAACAAAATACCCGGATCCACATAAAAAGTTAATAAAAACGTTACAATAATCCAATAAGAACCTCAAAAAATGCTTAACAATGGGTCAATTTTATACTTTTTTACATAAATCCTATTGTCCCGAAAATTAAATAAATATACTAGAAAAACTTCAATCTGGTTTATTCTCACATAAAGAATAGTAATGGTTGATTTACTTTTTTTTTCTTAATTTTTTTAGAAGTTACTCTTTTGTATAATTGATTGTCTAAACGGGACAATCATGTTATCTTACTAGTACTATAAATGCGAAAGTTTAGATTGATAGATGTTTGTTAGTTGTAGCCTAAACTGCTGAACGGATCTCGATGAAGTTTGGCACAAATGTAGAGTATAGTCTGGAAGTACATAGGCTACAGGCTATAGGTACATAGGCATACTTACTTTTTATTTTTATTTCCACACTTGCAGAATCGTGGATGAAAGCTAGTTTATTATAAATCTGAATTTTCGTTACTAACTAATATTATAATACGTTCATGTTTTATACTTTTTTGCGATTTTTTGTTAATCGTAAATGATACGTAGAAATAGTTAAAATAACTATACCTAATACAACATTCTAATAACAATAAAGTCAACTAACTGATGTAAACAGATGAAAAGCAGAACTCAATACAACTGAGATCAATCTAATGTGTACGGTTTACTTTGTGTGTTTGTGCGTTTATTTAATAACCTTGTTTGAAAATCGTATCTATATATATACTATCTATCTATACTATTATAATAAAGCGTAAACACACATTTCTTTGTTGCCTAAGATGGCAGCAATTGTCATATATTTTATCTGTGTAATTCAAATTGTTAGTTAAAGGTCGGTACTCCGAAATAAAGTTAGTCGATACGCCACTCGTCTATCTCTTCACACCTCTCCCACTTTATAAATAACAAACAGCAATTACAGCATATTTTTGAATGATTCTTTTTTTAATATTAATCCCCACACTTACGTCACGCTTTAGGCTATATATTTTCACGCCACTAAACTTAGGGGGTAAATATTTTGGATACAAACCCTAATGTGGGAAAGAGACCATAAGTTGCTGCCAACATCAAGGTTGCCATGATTTGTCATTATGTCATGTCATTTTGACATTTGCAATTGATAATTTGACACATGTAAACAACAAAAATAAAATTTCCATAATTTTATGTGGATACAGTCGCATGGGAACAGCTAGTTAATATTAAAAATGCGAAAGCTTAGAGGGATGTTTGTTAGAGTTTGTAGTTTAAACTGCTTAACGGATCTCGTTGGGCATAGACGTAGAGGATAGTCTGAAATTTTATGTGCGCGGGCGAATGTTCATATAAATATAAAGGGAAGCTCTAAAAGAATTTTGACTCTTTTGATACATTTCTTTCTAGAACCGAAATTGCCATTGCCGAAACATCTATACTCTTATCCCCCTCATTCTCTTTGTAAAAACAGGGATAGCAATTGTTTTTATGCAGCGTAACTGGAAGTATTAGGTAACTCACCCACACCCGTAGATCTTTCTCAGCTTTTGCCAGTTTATCTTTGGACATGGTCGAGCGATTACGCAAATTCATTCTCTGTAGAAACATTTGCATATTGTCACGCATAACGTCGAAGTCCGAATAATACCTTGAAATTTAAATAACACTGCATTATATTTCTGGGGAAGTCCAAATCCAAAGTAGATTTGACGGTGGAGGAGTCGCATAGGAAGGGAACATGTCCTCTTTGTGTGCGTCTCCTCCGTCAATTAAAAGGCAACGCATCTGCTATTGCGGATGTTTATGGGCAGCGGTCGCTTTCCATTTCGGTGGATTCAGGTGCCCGCTTGCTCGTTTGCCACTCTATGTTATAAAAAAATCCTAACCAAAGTTGGTCTGTTATTTTTTACTGACCTGTGAGGACTAGAGGTCTTCCAACCAGAACTGCGGTGACCATTGCGCTGACCAAGATTATTTTGAGCAGGTGACCGCTGACCGGAGGTTGGTCGACTTGATCTGCCCTCCTCCAAGCTGCGTCGTTTAGGACTGCGCCATTTAGGGCTGCGCCGATCAGGACTGTTCTGACCACTGCAGAGACCACCGGGACTGCGCTGACCACCATTTGGGCTTCAAGCCGGGACAGGCCGGTTCGTCTTAACTAAAGACGTATAGTCAAATCGAACAGGACTTTGCAGAACAGTGCCGCATTGTTTGCATTTATTTCGATCAGGGCTGAGCTGATCAGAGTTGTGTACATTAGATCTACGTCGTCTACGACTACGATCAGGGCTGCGTTGCTCAAAGCTACGCCGGGTAGTGCTGCGCCGTCTAGAATTGGGCCTTTCAGTGGTGCGCCGGCTAGAGTCGCGCCGTTCATGGCTGCGCGGTTTAGGATTGCGCCGTTTATGGCTGCGCGGTTTAGTATTGCGCCGTTCAGGGCTGCGCTGGCTAGAGTAAAGCCGTTCAGGGCTACTAGGGCTACGTCGACTAGGACTGGACTGATCGGTGTTGCGTCGTAAAGAGCTACGCCTTGTCCTGGACCTTGTTTCTAATTTTTGAGGTAGCTCAACCCATCGATATCCAGCCATTTTAGTGATTGTTAATTAATCTGAAATTAAAAAAAAAAATGTTTGCACGGTGTAAATGTAACCAATAAAATAAAATTTTCATTATTCTAGCGGTTGAAGCCGCATGGGAACAGCTAGTTTTATTATGTTACCTGATGGAAGAGAAGATATTCTTGTACACTAGTATGCAATATTCATGTATTTTAAACAGGGATTTGAAATCATGTATGTCCCTATTGACTATGTCTATATTTTTCTTTGTAAATAACTTATGATTTTTACTTTATTTGGTAAATTGTGAATAACTCGAGTGTAATTAAAAAGAATTTGATGTTTTTTGTATATCTTCTTGTTAATATTTATATCAGAAAATGAGTTTTAAATATTGACAAGAAGATTTTTAAATGTTTATAGTCGAGATCAAAATGACAAGTTCATTTCTTGTCATCTTGTCAGTCAATCTTTTATTTTTATTTTTTAGAAGAAATAAATAGGAAAACTCAACCGATTGATTATGGCTTATTACATCATGGGTTTTTTAATATGTTTTACTACAATTTCTAAAATCAGTCAAATTGTTTTAGGAAAACTATTATTAATACTAAACGGAACAGAAGAAAACCTATGGAAATTGTAGAAACGTTTTGGAATTCGTGAAAGTGACATCTAGCGGGCTTTTAATTTTTATTTTTGAAGTTTAAGTTTATTCTAACAGATGGCGCTTTACACAAAAGTCGGACTTTTTCATTCATTGCTTTGTTCTATACTTGTACTTTGTGGCAGATAGATGGCGCTGCACAAATCTAATACAAATGTCGATGATGTATCGAATATTTTATCATAAATGTTTGTGAGATGTAAAAACGTTTCTGCATTTCAGTCCGATGACTATATTTGGAAAGGAGGATCAATATTGTTGGACGGTTACTTTCCCCCGTCCGGGGCTCTGGAGGTGTGGGGCTATTGAAACACTTTCTTCTAGTTAATCATCATTATATTTAAAATATCTGAACCATATTTTATACAAAGTCTATTAGTCCTACAATGTTACTTGTTCCTTGTCGAGATGTGAAGTCTCTCAATATTTCATCAAATGTAGAATTCTTAATAATTTAAATTATATATTATTCTAATATTAAAAAACCATCCTTAGTGTGTACAGTGTTGCCTGCCAGTATACAAACATATAAAAACTCCAACAAATATTTTAAAATAAAAAACGGACGACTGTGAATAGTCTGCGAATTTCTAAACTACTCAATTCAAAATTTCAGTGAATTCAATAGATTCTCTTGAGATATTGTAAGGTAATTTAACTAACTGAATGTATGTTTAGTTTTCTCACTCATTCTTTCTGAAAAACGGAGATGGTATTTCTAAGAATGTTTTGGCAGTGTACTTATACTTAAGCCACAAGCATTTGCGAGAATGTTTTTGTTGGCGGAAAAAATAATACAAATTATTAATAAAAATCATTTTATTTCGATCGTTTAATACTAATTACAACAATTAGAAATTACATCAATACGTATCATATTGACTGAATACTTATTGAAAATATGATACTATAATACATAAAAAAATCTTACATTTACATTTTAAAACTATGACCAATCTTATTAGAGAGTCGACCATGTTGGTATCTACAATGACCAAAATGGTCAAAAATCTAATTATATTTGAATCTTGAAAAAATCTTTTCCGTTTATGGTTACAAAAGATACTTTTTCTTAAACAAAGACATTGTAATGCACTGGCAAAAAAACTGGCAGTTTTTGATTTAAAAAAAAAATATTTCGTAAAACTAAATTTAATGAAAATGCCAGTAATGTTATGAATCAGATTGTACAAATTAAATAAATTCCTACCTATTTACACATTTTTAATTATAAATAAAAAATACAAAAAAAAGAAGTTCAGTTTTTACTTCACAGATTCCGAAATTAGTGTGACCAGTAATAAAAATGTGGTAACTTTTAGGAACTGGAGTAAAATTTTGTACTGTGTTTTGTTGATTTATATTTTAATTGTTATGAAATATGAGAAGATTTTATATGGCACGTGAAGTCCATTTTTTACCAATATTATGTTAATTGATTTGGTTGTTTTATTTCTTGCCGTTTTCTAAGCATTTGCATTGAGCGTTGTGTTTGTGTTGAGAGTTGACAACTTCTGAGAAAGATGGGTTGAAGGTGACCCCTGGAGCGATGTACTGTGGGTTTGTTCCACTGCCTGATGTTTCGTATGTGATGATTTGAGGTTTGGTAGTATAGGTTACAATTTTAGGTTTTGTTGTGTATGTGATAATTTTAGGTTTAGTTGTATACGTGACTATTTTAGGTTTTGTCGTGTAAGTGAAAATTTCCGGTTTAGTCGTAAATGTGACGATTTCCGGTTTAGTCGTATAGGTTACTATTTCTGGTTTTGTCGTGTATGTGTAGATTTTCGGTTCGGTTTGGAAGAATTTCTTCTCTGAGTATGTTGCGCTGAAGGTGTTGGAAATTGGTCCCTTGATGTCGGTGCCGAGGTTCAAGCTACCTGACGTGAAACCGGTGGAGCCTTCGTCGAATTTGCCGAAGTGGCTAAGTGATCCTGGGCCGGCGCCGAATTGGCTAAAGTTAGCGGTCAATTGTCCCTGTCCGAAGAGCTTGGCGAATTCTTCGGCACTGATCTCCTTGTGCTCGGCGCCGATTTGGCCAACACCGAATTGTGTTTGACCGATTCCGAATTGTGTTTTACCGCCGCCTAGTTGAGTTTGGCCGATACCAAATTCAGTTTTGCCTCCACCAAGTTGTGTTTGGCCGATGCCGAATTGGGTCTTAGTGATGCCAAATTGGCTTTGTCCGGTACCGAATTGGGTTTGACCGGTACCCAATTGGTTTTGTCCTGCACCGATTTCGGCTTGACCATTGGCTCCTTGTTCGATACCGATTTGCGTGTTCTGTCCTTGTCCGATAATACCGTATCCTTTAACACCTTTAGTGATGGTTCCCTTGATTCCAGTTGTGTACTGAATGCCCTTGGTACCAGAGATGACCTGTCCAGTGTATTTAGTCTGTGTAACTTTGGTACCGATGCCGTACTGTGAGTAGCGGACACTCTCTGTTAGTCCGATAGCCCATTCGTACCATTCGATGTCGAATTTGTAGAACGCAGCCAATTGATTGCCGACTTGACAACCTGGAAATAACAATTCGAGTTATAAATAGATGTTACTTACATCAAAGTTTGAGATATTCCAAATGAAGCTGAAAGTTCTTTGCAGTAACTAATCAATTCTCACCTGAGTCCCAGGAGTAGATGCCCTGCATCACGTAGTAACCATCACCGGTTGTGCAGGCTAGAGCGCTGCCGATGTCCACCTGCAAATTAATAATTTTAAATTAAACAATCATATTTCTATATTATACATTACTTAATCAACAGCCTCAAAACCAGAGGAACTACAGATCCGTTGGCATTATTTAAGAAATAGTTACTCATGTTAGATCCCTATATTGACAAATGCTGTAGAGGACAGTTCTAATTTTTTTTCATAAGGTGGCAAACGAGCAAGCCGCCACCCGAATCCACCAAAATGGCAAAGTGACCGAAGCCTGCCTTTAATCGACGGAGGGGGAAATGCAAATAAAGAGTATATTTCCCCTTCTGTGTGTCTCCTCCAGCGTCAAGTCCTCCTTTTCCTATAAAAAGGGGCGGGAAGGAAAAGATACTAAAGTTGGGCCTCCGGCACCACACTCATCAGATGAAACACGGAGTTGCTCCCACTTTACGCCTGTCGTGTGTGATCGTGGTATTGTTGGTGGCTAGCCGACCCTACAGTGCGAAGATGTTAAAGCGGACTCTACCACTGTATTCATGACACGTCAGGTATAAATATTTCAATCATCTTCCTTACCTTACAGATGTTGTTCAATGGGTTAGTGGGCTGTCCGCAGGCGCAGCTGTCGCGGTCGTAGTTATCCAGCAAGTGAGGGTAGTCCTGCTGCAGTTTGCTCTCACATTCATCAGCCTGGATTAGGGATACGTTAACGCTGTGCATGATACTGCCAGCGAGGTGAGCTGGAAATAATAAGAAGATTAGCAAAAAGGGAGTAAACCAATTTAAAAATACAATCTACAAATTATAGGCTCCATGTAATGTTTGCAAAGAACAAATGCAAATGGTCATCGCAGTCTTTTGTTTTGTTCTGAGGTCATTTACCAGAAACATTTATTTCGATGTCAAAATCAAAGTTGTTTTTATAATATACAGGATGCTTTTACATTTTATCATCGTTTATTTACTTTATTGATTAAATTATTTAAGGTGCAGAAACAGAAAGAAGATTGAGAATTAGAATTTAAATTATCTTTGTCACAGCTTGATTGTAGAAAAATTTTAGGAGCTTCGATACAGATGAGCATATAATTGTCTGCTAACCTCTATTATAACTTTGACCTTTTTAAGTTAGAAAAAAACTAGTCAAATGATAGCCACGGATTTAAGTACAACTGGTTTTAAGCAAATTTACATAAGAGTACATCGCCGGCTAGCACGGTCGGTCGGGAAAACCTCAAGTTAGCATATTTATTTTTAAACTACGATGACCATAAAATTGTTAGGATAATTTCCTGGAATCATCTATAAAAAACGTTAAATGAAACTTTTATGAAATGTTTTTGTTTGATTTGGTCTGTGAAAATCATGGCCACACACATTTACATTTATTATGAATCTCGATTACAACATTCCAAAGACCGATGTCGCTTCGCAATGCCATGTTTATTTGTTTCTAGAAAAGTCCTAAGTAACAATTATTTAGCATATCACAAGGCTTTAGCTAGAATCGAATTTGAAGTAAGACGGAACAAAAAAGGATACTTGATTTGTCAACAAATCGGTAAAGCTGGGATAAAAAAGCGGATTCTGGGAAGCTATTCTTCATGTTTAATCAAATATATCTATACTAATATTATAAAGATTTGTATTTTTTTATTTTTGTATGTATTTTATTCAAGTAAAAACTACTAGAAAGATAATTTATCTATCACTGATATAGGCTATATTTTTTATCGCGAGGGCGAAGTCGCGAGCAACAGCTAGTATCAAATACTTTGAATTTATACTACTGTGATATGCATGTAAATGTGTTTATTAGAACCATTGCCCTTACAGAAATAAGGCTCGTTGCCAACATTCCGACCTCTAGAATTATTTTGTATTGGCATATTTTTATAAACATTGAACAGTAATCCGTTTCTCATGACCTTTTGTATCAAGCAGGATTTTATTAGTGACTACTTGTACTTGCGTCTTCATCCACATGAAATAAAAATAATAATAAAATATATAGTCTATGTTACTCATAGATAAATTACCTTTCAAATGGTGAAAAAATTGAAATCAGCCCAATAGTTTTTACGTGAATCCAATATATACAAAAATACAAATCTTTCCTCTTTATTATATTAGTACAGATACAGACTACTTGTTGCTCGCGTCTTCATCCACGTGGAATTAAAAAAAATAAAAAACGTAGTCTATGTTACTCAGTGATAACGTAGCTTTTTATTGGTAGAAGATTTTTTTAAATCGGTCCAGTAGTTTTTGAGTTATTTCAATACATATAAAAATAAAAAAACTTTCCAATTAGTATAGATTATTAGGAATCTGGTATCAATAAATAATGATTCCTTTTAAAACCTAGAAGAACTAATTACAAAACCTAAAATGTTAATCTAAAAAAGATTTTTTATTAATGATATATTTTATTGATTTATTCTTTTTCTCAACACGACCGACGCCAGGGTTTTTTGGCAGTAGAGCTATAACATAAATACGTTCTTGTTTACGTTAGTTCGTATTTCGTGAAGGACCACACACGGTAATGTTTTCTTAGTAATTCCCACATTGGTACGACATTTTTTTGTGTTAAAGGTTGATTGTAAGAAAACTGTGACATTATATATATACATAAGTATTACTTTTAAAGCCTACGAATACTGAACCATAAACGTCAGAAAGATTTCTATCATCCTTTACAGTTCCAAGCTCTTTCTATACGGTTTTTTTTATACTATGAGGCGGCAAACGAACAAGCCACCTGAAACCGTCAGAATGGCGAAGCGACCGCTGCCCATAGACATCCGCAATTGCAAATGCGTTGCCTACCTTTTATCGACGGAGGACACGCAAAAAAGAGGATATTTCCCCTTCATGTGCGTCTCCTCTACCGTCAAATCCACTTCACCTTCCCATCCCTTCCTCTTAAGTAAAGGGTAGCAAGGGAAAGGGAGGGCCTCCGGCAGTTATGCGATAGTTTACTCGAAGGTGCCCGCATGTTCTAAGAGTTAATAAGCGTAATAAAAGTACATGTAACTTAGCCACGGTAACCCGGTTCAAAAGTCGGTTAAACGTTACTGTCAATATTGCGTAACGTACACGTGATGTTACACGAACAGACGGACAGTTTGACAGTGTGATGGGTGTGCATCGGTCAACGCCGGGATAACAAACCCGTTTGCGGTACTGTCAGCAAAGAAAATTTTAAACGTATTTTAATTTTATATTTTGTAGGTGATAATAATAAATAAAACACTATACTATCTTACTTCTTACTCATCGTCATCCACTTGCCCTTATCCCTTACGGAGGGTCGGCACAATATGTGCTGCTCTTCCATACATCTCTATCAGCCGTCATATCTGAATCCACTCCTTTCTTAAGCATATCCTCTTTCAAACATCTTACTTCTTACTTCTTACTAATATTATAAATGCGAAACTTTAGATGGATGGATGGATGTTTGTTAGAGTTTATAGCCTAAACGGCTGAACGGATTACGATGAAATTTGGCATTTAGATGTAGAACAAAGTCTGGAAGAAAACATAGTGTACTCGCTTTTGTTTTTTCTTAAATTCCACGCGGACAAAGTCACGAGCAAAAGCTAATAAATAGTTCCAAAACAGATCAGATTATATCTTTAGTATAGATCTCATTCTAAATTTACACTAAGGGTGTAGCTTAGCGATCATTTAATAACTCTGAGTCGCGTTTACATTTTTAAAGGATTCGCATTATATTAAAAAAAAAACAGACAAACATCAATTAAATTTTGTAACCTTGGAACTGCGCGCGTTGACAATGACCGGTTACTCGTAAATACGCATTTACGTCATATTTCTATCAAACTCATCAAAGATCATTAGATTTACTGACTTTGAATATTGTATGCTTGTGACAAATAGTTGAAAAGTAAACTTTACATCCGGGTAGAAATGTTCATAAATTTAAAATTGATATTTAAAGCAAATTTAAAACAAAAGAATTGTTAATGTTGCCATTTTTTTAGTAAAATATTTGCACAATGTAAGACAGAATTATTGTATTTTTGAGGTTATTAAATTCGGAAATTGAACTAGTTAAAAAAGTCAAATTATAACTATATCCTTAATACTTAAATATTACGTTATTAACAGTTAATAATTCTGAATGTAATTAATTATTATTGTGAATATGTTCCGTACACATTTAAATATATCTTAGTATTTTTGATTTATCTATTCTTTAACGAAAATAATAGATTAAATTGACCTTGTGCCGCCAAAATAATAATTCAAGATGGCCGCCTTGTATGGATAGGTCAAATAATTAAAATTCAATGTTAGGTATTATCTATGATTGAACAAATACATTTTGTTAACAAAGGAATATTTATTGTAGGCTCTCGATATTTACCGAAGTATCTTTACCAACAATCAAGTAATTTACGTAATTAAATTTTGAGGTTATTTTTAAATTGTAAATATATTATTTCATTAAATACAGCTAAAACTGTAAATGCACCAGGAAATAATTTTGGACAACACTTTTTTTTGTACGAAATATTAATATTTTCCGCATAAGTTTTTGCCAGCTGTTAAAATTAGCAATTTTGTATGTAAACGCTACATTAATTAGAAACGGTTGTAACTTGTTTTCTGAATCCGGTTAATTGTTATTATAAAGAATTTATTCAATGGAAAACTGCTTGGACTTCGTTATATACAACTTTAGATAATAATGTTACATTCTTTATTACTTAACACATCCCATACAAAGTTTTTTTTTTATTCGACTCCGTCCGCGTGGAAAAAAAAAGTAAGTAGCCTATGTGTTCTAGAGTATCCTTTACATCAAGTATGGGCAACCTTTGACTTGTTGAGGGCCAAACTTTAGCGTGCAAATACGTTCGCTGGCCGCAGGTAAGAGATGGAATCGTTTTCAAATAAAATAAGTTCCAACCGTCCCTTCGTCGTAAAAGGTGGGACGGATGAAACTTTTGATTCTCATCTGTCTCCACATGGGGACAGAGTGGGGTGACGGTTGGGAATAATCCATGTAGTTTTTGTTAAATGTTTTTTTTTTCAAAATGTCTCGCAGGCCGGATCATATCTTACAGCGGGCCGGTCAATGCCCATATATGCTCTTCATTTAAACCAAATCTTATCGAGATCCGAAGCCGTTTAGGCTACAAACTCTAACAAACATGCATCCAACTTTCTGGTTTATAATATTAGTAAGATAAATTTTCTTGGCATTGCCATTTGACGACATAATGACAATAAATAAAATTTACTTTGTTAATTATAATATCATAGTAATTAAGAGATTCCAGAGATCTTTCTGCTATCGCTACTGCACCGACAATGACCCCAAAATGGCGGACACTTCGAGTACACTTTCCTTTTTCCATATCTTGTGTTTACGAGTTTTCGCTGGACCAATCGGCGTTTTATTAATTCAACCGGTTTACATCGTCTTTAATCTTTGATGATTTTTTTAAATCGATAATTTTTTCACCAACGTAACCTCTTTTGTGTCGACTTGGAATTAACAAGTGACCTAAAAGGTTATTCATGTCTCGGGATAATTCTTTATATAGATAACCTTTTTTTGTGAGGAAATAATTTGTATAAATTTGTTTCTATGCTATAGCCTAGGTCTAGTTCTTAACATAGGACTTAAGTACTATGAGATTATGTATCATTTTCGTTGGACTCTTACGTAAAACCTATGTTTCCGGGTCATGTACATTTAGCAAATATCTTGACTAGGTCACGGTTATGTCAAATATTCATTGAATTATATAAAACTATCTTACTTCTACTAATATTTTAAATGCAAAAGTTTATATTGATAGATGGATGTTTGGATGTTTGTTAGAGATTGTAGTTGAAACTGCTAACCGGATCTCGATAAAATTTGGCATGGATGTAGAGGATAGTCTGGAACACAAAGCTACTCACTTTTGTTTTTAAATTCCATGCGGGCGAAGTCGCTGGCGAAAGCTAGTAGTTTCAAATGTAAAACTATAACAAATTTATAAACGTCTATCTCTGATAGCGGTCACGAATCTAAACAGTTCTGTTTATAAGCGACAATAATTGATTACCCGCAAAAATGTTAAGTGCCTGTCTCACCAATTTAACAATCCATCGTGTAAAACGTGATGGAACAATCGGATTATGTTCCCTGACAGTCAGTTTTAAGCTATCTGAACCTCTATCAGCCAGTGGTGGACAGGCCCTAAGTGTTTGTCATACGCTAAACAAATTTTCGCAAACTTTTACTTATACGCAATACACACATCTGTCACCAGAACAGTGAAACTGATGTACGCAATCCAATTAGGAGTCTCGCATATTTGACACTTCGTTATAAAGATCTTGTTTATTTTATTACATTGACAGTTTGTATTGGCGTCAATTTGTATTTCTCCTTATTGAGTAATCCTACTAATATCATAAATACGAAAGTTTAAATGGATGGATGTTTGTTAGTTTGTAGTTTAAACTATAGAGATGTCGACGATATTTAACATAGATGTAGTCTGAAAGAAAACATGCTAAAGAGAGCCGAGAGAGTCTTGTATATTTTTTATCGTTATTTTCGTGTTAAAAGAATCTTATAAACATTGGTTAAGCTACTAAAGTATAGAACGTAGTTATGCTTGTCTAAATTTTGAAAGACTTTAGAATTGTTCGATTAAATTATTGCGATACGAATAATTTAGTTGTAATAAAAATCCAATTAAAACTTTTATAATCACAGACCTTCTTTTGCACACCGTACTCAAATAAATTACGGTGTCAGTTAACAGCAATAAAATTATAACAGATTATAAAACCTACCTTGCAATACTATCTTGCCCCATCCAGTCACAATACATTCTCCACCTCCGTTGTAGAAAGCATCGATCGAGTCTTTAGAGTCAGGCATGCAGATTGGTTGGATGTTATTCGCTAACCGTAGGTTTTCACTGAGGTATAAAATAGCTACATCGTCTTGGAGACTGCCAGATTTGTATCCTGGATGGAAGATAATCGTCTTGACTTGAACGATCTGGAAAGGCAGAGGTTCTTCGTCGATTCCAAGCTTCCATTCGCCGCCTTTGACTAGAACGTTCTTGGCGTCCAACCTGGAAAGAGGCTTTGGTTAGGATTGAGCAAAAAATGCTTTTTTTTTACAAAAAAGAATTAGTGGAAATTCATTGTATTGTCATATGGTGATATGGGATGTGATGCGTGAATTTTGCAATCCAAATGGCAAAATACAATTATAACATTGAAATAAAATTGAGTTAATGTACAATTATCATCAAGATGACGCAAAAGTTGTAATTTCCCAGAAATAGCCTATCTATTTACACAGATCAGTGATTGACACTTATAGTTTTATAAATATTCTCTGTTTAGTCAAAGGGAGTTAAAATGATGATAATCTGTTAGAGAAGAAAGATTTTTATTCTTGTATGTATTGAAATAATTAAAACTACTGACCCGATTTCAAAAATTCCTGCACCATTTAAAAGCTATGTTTTTTACATATTATTAATTACTCGCGCACGAAGTCGGGTACAACAGCAATATATTATATTCTTACAAGTTTCACGTCAAATTCACCCTCATACTTACCCATCAACACAAGAAGCAGATGTAAGTACAACATCAGGTCTGGAGATGACACCACCGCAAAGCAGACTCTTGTTGGTCTGCAGCAGCACCATAGCTTGCCAGGGGATTTCCGCGAAGTCTACCTCTAGGTCATTGTGGTTTCCGTACGGTCTTTGGCCCTGGAAGTAAATGGAACATTATTGTCTTCTATGTACAAAAGTATAGGAAAATTCGCTAACGCTTTTGCGTTCATTTTTGTTTCAACTTTTAAGAACAGATTCCTAATATCTTTTGTTATTTTTTATTTCTAAAAGTAAACCGACAAATAAGAAAAAACAGATTTTGTATAGAACAAGCCATTGTTTTAGTAGATTTTTGATATAACATTTTTTAAATCGAAAAACACTGGGTGTGACAAAAAACATGAATCATTGTCACGTTCGTTGCGTGAAGCGAGAGCGCAGAGTGAAAGAGAGGCACGATGCTTAGCGTTAGTAGTGACGTCATCACGTGAAATAATTGCTGTTACCGTTTCTACGGAGTACCAATTCTTTAATCAGTTTTGCAGATTTTGAAGTAGGAAATAGAATTGAAGGACACGTTCCCATCAGTGGCAACTCATTAAAATATTAATGTGTATTATTCATTTATTAATAAACGATACATTGATTTGACGTTAATATGCCAACATTAATTATGATACGAGTTTGGGGAAACAATATTTTTATAATATTTTTTTACTGCGCCTATTTTAAAAATCATTTTCAAAAATTCATCTAATAATTTAGATTTATTGATGTTATTTAATTCTAGCTGACGTAATTATATAATAAAATACATCTTTGCCTTTTTAAATTTTACTACTCTGGATAATTTTATAGCATATTTTGGTTAAAATAAATCGCATGTTACAAGGAGAACGTTAGTTATGAGTGTAGAGGTACACCAGTAGAGGTAGACCTAGAAAGAGATGGATGGATTGCGTGAAAGGTGACGTGAGATGACGTATGATAGAGTTATTTCGAAGACAAAAAAAGCTGCGCCGACCTTACGGGTGTAGGATAAGGAGGAGGAGGATGATCATGATGATTGGTTAAAATGTTTATTACGTTAGTTCTACGACTGAGATAGTTGTTGAAAATGACATGACATTCCTTTCATTCAACAATAGGATTTAAATGTATTTGCCACTGATATATGGATAGGCCATTGTTTGGAAATTATAGCTTTTGCACCGTTTAAAAAAAGTAAGTCTATCAATATTATAAGTTCGTTTGACCAACTATAAATGATGAAAACAAAATAAACACAATATCGAATAAAGCCTGTCCAATTGTATAAGTCAGTGGTATTCGGTACGATCACAATTTAAAATTGGAATTCCATCTTTTTGTTTGTCAATGGCCATCGCTCATTTGTTTTTATTGAGACATGTTACAAAGATGTCAACATATAAAATACATTTGTAAGTTTGTGTATAATTTGTTGCCACAGGCTATAAATGGAACTGGGGCGTTTTCTGTATAATTAGAGCATTTATAATGAACCAATGTCATATTTTCTTGTTTTAATGTGAATAAACTTTGATAGTTCGTTGATCTGATTTTAAAATGTTTTAATTTATGATGACGGACAAACACTATTGTCAATTATTGGAAAGTCAAGTACGAAAATGTAAACCGACGTAAGCTCTGATTGACAGTTTTAATTGTACGGTCGATTACAAATGGAACGTTTTCATGTTACTTTAGAAAAAAAGAACTACATATATTGTTTGGGGACCTACTGTTACTATATTTAAGGCCTGTCCCACCAAATTGTTAATTGTCTGATAACAATCCATCGTGTAAAATATCTGATAGAAATATCAAATTTTATTACATCTCACAGTGACGTCATTTTTAAGCTATCTGAGCCTCTATCAGCCAGTAATGGGACAAGCCCTAATTATTATAAGTGTGAGTAAAAGTATACTTCAAAACGTTATGGAAAATAATGCTTTCTGATGTACCTAATTGTTAAAAAAAAAGTTATTTCAGTTTTATATTTGGCAAGAACGTTTATTGGTCATAAAATATTTCTCTATTCACATTCCTAATTAGCATAATGAAATTAAATATTGATTATAATCTATACATATGATTATTTATGAGCCGTTTGCTAAACTTCTGTCCACAGATAATATACAGAAATAAAAAAAAAACAAGTTTAAATAATAACTCGTTTTTTAAAACATGATTTCGTTCATAATCGTAAAAGTCTAATTTAAATTTATTTTATTGTTTTATTTTTTCGTCATTTTTAACTGAATTCAAAAACTTTGAAGAACTTTTGAATTGTTTATGTATCATTGAATTATATTTTATCGTTTTCTTACGAATTGTGGACACCCTTGGTTCTTGTTCTATCGATCTATCTTCCGTCTTCTCAATTCCTTCGCGCATTCCATCCATTTATATAATTAGGATGCTAATTTCGATAACCTGCCGTATTTACTTCATTAATAATAAACAAATCTATTAGAGGTTTCTCGTCTACTGTTATTTCACATTGAAATATAGTAAAATGTCAAATTTAAGTGAAAATCATTTAGAATTCGATCTTCACGGTTTGACTTTGAACCATAACCTCTGATATCATGATGAAATCATTCATCGATTTCGTAAGTCTTCGTATTAGATTGAGTTTTTCAATGTTATTAGATATTTTCGTGTCATCGCCCGTAGTTGGTTTGATTAATTCAGCCTGATTTATAACCGAAATCAATATTCAATCTCGAATCTTTTCTTACTTATACGTTGCATTTTTTATTTGGTACAAATTCAACTGGCCTAAGCATCGCATTAGCAATCGAACGACTTGATGGTTTTGGAGGTTTTGGTTTGATCGAATTACTTTGATATTTCGTTTAATTCGAAGTAATTAAAATTACTCTCGGATCGGTATCAAGAATCGGTAACCCGTTGTAACCCTACGGGAGTAGGATAAGGGGGGGATGACGATCGGTATCAAGAATCTACTGTTAATTTTGGCCGCTTATAAGATCAATTATTTATGCTTTGTAAATTAGAAAAATGTATATTACTTACATGTTTAACACCACACTGTCCAACACCGTCGTACCGCTGGAGGTAAATCCTGTGAGTGGACGCACTGTACTCATTCTCAGTAGCCAAGCCCCCGCCTTGTTGGATGCCAACGCCTCCGCCTTGTTGGATGCTCACGCCTCCACCTTGTTCGATGCTCACGCCTCCACCTTGTTGGATGCCTACGCCGCCACCTTGTTCGATGCCTACACCGCCGCCTTGCTGGATGTCCACACCTCCACCTTGTTGGATGCCCACGCCTCCGCCCTGAATAATGGTTTGTCCCACTTCTTGTTCAGTATACTGCCCTTGTCCCTTCTCAAGTTTGATGCCTTGCGAGACGAGACCGAATTTGTTGCGTTGCCCTTTTCCTTGGCTGATGATAGCGCCCTGGTGATGACAATAAAATTTTTGAGAACTGAATTATACCAACAATTTATTTTCGTCGTACTCTTATTAAGTAATAAATAAATACCTCTCCCTGCTCGATTCCAAGTCCCTGTCCTGCGATACCGAACTGACCTTGTCCTGTGGTGACAAATATTAGGTTAGAATAATAAATCTTATTGTATTGAGGTTCTAAAACGTCATAATACCTACGTAGTGGAGATAAAAGAATGGAAAAATAGAAAAAAGTACTTAATTTTGTCTACATTTTTTATAATCTTTTACTATTAACAGCTTTGAATGAATGTATTTATTGACTTCGTTTCTTATTCAGTGGATCGATTGTTATTTTAAATTTTGGGATTTCTTTACCTCCTACAGTGCTAACGATTTCTCCAGAACGTAAGGTATTTGAATTTATAACCTCTAAAAATATTCTATGTTTTGTTATTAAATATTAATTGTTACAAGTTACGTATTATTTTGAGTAGTCACAATAACACAAAAAGCGTTTATAATTTAAATTCGAACGATTAGCACAAATTATTTAATAATTTAAAGCATGCAACACATAATTAACACAAAAACACAAAGTAACTAAACACTAAATTAATTATAACCCAGTTGAAATGCTAGTAGAATCCCAAAGATAAAAAATACTACGACGATACGGATATTTAAATAATTAAATTGAAACTATTTAAGAAAACTGTACAGATCTTTTAAATCTTAACAGTTTTTCTGTCTGTACGTAGACAGCTTAAAGGTACTATTGAAACAAAATGAAGTAATAAACCTATCTATCTTTTTAACTAATATTTTTTATACATTTTACTTGAGAATCTACTAGCATTTTCATCAGATTATAGTTATAGTCGGTTAGTATGGATTACCTTGACCAATGATCTGTCCACGACCGTATTGTCCAACTCCAGTTTGTGTGTATTGTCCTACTCCATTTTGTGTGTATTGACCAACACCATTTTGGGTATATTGTCCAGTTTCACCCTGGCCGTATTGTCCTACACTGCCCTGGACGCCTTGTCCGATTCCGGCTTGACCATATTGGCCAACATTAGCTTGTCCTACACCAGCCTGTCCAACTAATCCTACACCAGCTTGTCCGACGCCGACCTGTCCTCGTTGTCCTACACCAACTTGTCCTCTCTGTCCTACGCCATATTGACCGACTTGTCCCACTCCAACTTCACCAATTTGTCCAACGCCAGTTTGGCCGATTTGTCCAACACCTGTTTGACCGATTTGTCCAATGCCTGTTTGTCCAACTTGTCCAATACCAGCTTGGCCTATTTGTCCAATACTGCCTTGTCCTAATTGGTCAATACCAGCTTGACCATTCTGTCCTACTCCGATCTGGCTGACTCCAACTTGACCTGTTTGGCCGACTCCAACTTGACTTGTTTGGCCGACTCCAACTTGTCCTCTTTGACCAACACCGAATTGACCGACTTGACCTGTTTGTCCAACGCCGACTTCGCCTATTTCGCCTTGACCGCGCTGTCCTATTTGGCCCAGTCCAACTTGTCCAGTTTGACCAATACCAGCTTGTCCAATAATTCCAACATCTGATTGTCCAGTTTGGCCGACACCGATTTGACCGACTTGTCCAATGCCACCTTGTCCTCTTTGTCCAACTCCAATTTGTGTTCCTTGTCCAAAGCCAACTTGACCTCGTTGACCTACGCCAGCTTGTCCAATTTGTCCTACTCCAACTTGGCCCCTCTGTCCAATACCAGCCTGGCCGACTTGTCCGATTCCGTTTAGGCCAACTTGTCCGACTTGCCCAACGCCAACTTGTCCTCTTTGTCCTATCCCACTTTGTCCAGTCAGTCCTACTCCTACTTGTCCTCTTTGTCCAATGCCAGCTTGGCCAATTTGGCCTACTCCAACTTGTCCTCTTTGTCCAATACCGGCTTGACCAGTTAGTCCTACTCCAACTTGTCCTCTTTGTCCAATGCCAGCTTGGCCAATTTGGCCTACTCCAACTTGTCCTCTTTGTCCAATACCGGCTTGTCCAAATTGGCCTACTCCAACTTGTCCTCTTTGTCCAACGCCAGCTTGTCCAAATTGGCCTACTCCAACTTGTCCTCTTTGTCCAATGCCAGCTTGTCCAAATTGGCCTACTCCACCCTGACCTCTCTGCCCAATGCCAGCTTGGCCAATTTGACCGATGCCAGTTTGGCCGACTTGTCCAATGCCCGCCTGGCCTCTTTGTCCCACTCCAACTTGTCCTATTTGTCCGATGCCACCTTGTCCTCTTTGTCCAATTCCAACTTGACCTCTTTGTCCGACACCTACTTGTCCTACTCCGACTTGGCCTCTCTGCCCGATTCCAGCTTGACCGACGAGTCCTACACCGGCATTTCCGTACTGTCCTACACCGACCTGACCGATCTGTCCGACACCAACCTGACCAGTTTGTCCAATACCAGACTGACCTATTAACCCAACTCCAGTTTGGCCAATTTGTCCTAGACCAGTTTGACCTACTTGACCTATACCTTTTTGACCGAATTGTCCAATACCGGTTTGAGTTACTTGACCGATACCACCCTGACCGTATTGACCCACACCACCTTTAGTGAATTGCCCTTGACCGAATTGTGTCACTTGGTTATAGCCCGGTGTGAATTGCACACCCTGACCTGTAGTTGTTCCAAAAGTAGGGGGTGTTGGTTTTGTTGTCCTGCAAAAATAAAATATTTAGTTATCAGTAATGTAATAATTTTTCAATATCAAAAATTGTCATCCAATCAAGCTGCAAAGTAAATAATTAATACAAAATACTCATGACATATTCAGCATTTTAAGTCGATGAGTCGAGTAGAAACGAACTGTATAGAAATTAAATCATGTAGAATAGAGTTTTTGAAAGAGAACTTTCAAGTATTTTGAGATTTTGTTCTTTATACTTTTGTTTAGTGAATATTTTACGTCACAATGTTACCTGAAGTTGTTCAGAATAGTGCTTCCAGTGACGTCAGGTCTGCCAGTGACCTGGTTGCGAATCGTGTTGGAGCTCTCGCGGTTGTCCGGCACGTATTTGCCGTCATTACCACCGAATACACCGGGGACCCACTTGCCGAGCTGATTGGTGGGCCAGGGATCAGTGTAGAAGGGATCACGGCAGCACTTGCCAATACGTCCGGTCGCCAAGTCTTTACAGTCCTGTTCGAAAAGCACGAAGTAAGCAAATTTGTTTTGAAAAAGCATAAAAATAGCAATTCACTGTTAATAGCATTTGTCTTAAATGTTCCGTTATACTTACAGTAAGAGGTACTCTGTAAGCATCTTGATCTCTTGATAGAATGATAGTTGTGTTGGAGATGATGCCATCAGCTGTGCAAAACTCGATTGGGGTACATTTCAAGGCAGCAGCGCATCCAGCAGGGATTTCATCTGCTTATTGAAACAGAGCGTTACATTTAATTTCTACTAAAACTATATTAAAATCAAAGACCTAATAGTGAGACTTACTTAGGACTGGTACGATTGGCCGACGGGTTGTTGAGGGGAATCTCGATTCATCCAGGATGATACCACCCTCGTTGTAGTCAGGGCTAGGTACGAAAGTTTCTCTGTTGATGGTCTGTTCACCCACTGGCGGTAAGTATCCGGGAGCAGAGGTAGAAGACACTGGAGGTAGATACGTTGGTCTGCTAACAGGTCGTGGGGTTATAACTGGACGTACTGGGGTGTAAGGACGAGGGGTGGTGACTGGACGTGGAACGATTGGGCGGGGAGGTGAAACTGGACGGGGGGTAGTAACGAAAGGAGTTGATGGGAATACAGTAGAACTGACAACGTTGGTGCCGCTGTTCGTATTATCGACGGGAGGAAGGTAAGGGATGCCGGGTTTAAGGCCGGTACCGACTGCGCCAGGTCTGAAGACGTTTGAGTTTTCACTCTGAGAGGTGAAGGTATCAGTATCAAGGACACCCTGTCCCGACACCGGACGGAGAGTGGAGCCAGTGAATCCAGTTGGGGAACTTGTTGGGCCGAACGCGCCGGTTGAACCAATTGGGATCGCTGTCACGACGGGTACGGTGGAACCGAAACTGGTGCCTAAAGTGGCTTGGTTGGCGTCAAAGCTTGAAACTCCATTGGATGCGGTTTGGATTCCAAAGCCCTGGTTGCCGAAGGTGCTCTGTGTGTTTAGAACTCCGGATGCTTGGTTCTCTGTGTCGGAGGTAGCGAAGCCGACTCCAAGTGAGGTTTGGGGTACTCCGGACAACGAAGCGTCTAGTCTGCAACAGACTTCTGTTCTGGTGTTGCAATACTGCTTCTGTAACAAGTCAGAAAGTAATTATAGTTATGTTTTGAATGTTAAGTTTAGTACAGATAAAGATATTGTAAATAATCAAAGTGTTTACTTAAAAGTCTTAGTCTAATATCGCACAACGGTTGTGCGATTGTCGATTGTTTTTATTAATTCTACAGTTCTACAGCACCATATAAGCTCATAGGAATCAAAGCGGGACTAAACAGTTGTTTGATAGTATAGTCGAAGGTGTGCGCGCTCTAAGTAGATATGTTTCAATATGTTTTTTTTTCTTTTTTAAATACATTGTGCTAACCATCAATCATGTATTGTAGGTAGAGAATGACAATAGAAAAATTACAAGCATTAAAAAACGCCAGCGTTGCGATTACATAAACTTAAGATGGCGACCGCTTTGTCATTTTTTTCTCTATGCTTTTAATAGACAAGTGATGCAAATACAAATGACATCTTTGCAAGATTTTTGTACTAATAATGTGTCAATTTGTTAAGAAATATTTAAAAATAATTACAAGCATAATTATTAGAAATATATTTTAACTGGGATTGTTTAATTATAATAGATATATGCAAACGATTTTAAAAAGGAGGTTATCAATTCATGTGTATTTATAATAGCATAATATGGATATAATTTTCAGTAACATAATCACCAATAGATGTCACTATTTGAAGTTATAATTTTAGATTGTTATTCCCTTGTACAATATTGGGATACGGGTTACTCGAGCCAGTTCACGGCAGGAGCTGTCTTGCCTCGGGTCAACCACTACTCATCACTCATACGTAGTTGCGTATATGTACATTGCCGTACAAAAGTGCAAGCATTTTGTTTATTGTGGGTTTACATACATACAAGAACATAAAATGTAGTGACTCTACGGTCTTAGAACTGGTTTTTATTCTAACTAACGTTAAGACCAGTAAAATGTTTCATGTTTTGTTTATTTTTAATTTTTTTCCCATATTAGTCCCTTGCAGGCTTTTTTGAATTTAAGAGAAACATAACATTGTAAATGGTACTTATCATTGTCAAGGTGTGCGAATCGTAATAACAGATCATTACATCGTTACTAAAATGGCATAAAAATACAACATTTTCTCACAACACAAAGCAGAAAAACAATCATAATTTTAGTTACAAATGTTTCTTAAGGGTGAGTTGCACCATATCGCCGGTTACCGTTAAAGTTAAAATTATTTGTAACGGTAATATTTGGAATAACCTTAAAATTTACTAAGGGTGAGTTACATTAACTAACTATAAACCTTAACCAGCACATTCACGATGGTTACGTCTACGGATGTTCATGATATTCGCTACACCAGTTTTGCGCTGGTCAAAATGACGTCATATATGACACTAATCATAACCGCCCGATTTTGGGCGGTTATAATTAGCGTTACGGTTAGTGTCAGTTCGGTAGTGTCAACTGTCACAAGCTCTTATCTTCAAAAGTACAAATAATGGAAAAAGTAATGGAAAAAGAAAATCTCTACTATTATCCTATACGTAATCCAGAAGAATAAAGTCTTGCGTGCTCGGGAATAATGGATTTCCAAGATGGAACTCGAAATTTGGCCAATCATTCAGTTTGGACAAATTTCGAGTGTCTAAGGCCATAGCAACAGCGCTTGTCCCTTTTCTCTTATTTAAAAAAAATGTCCTCCATAAAAGGACAATTTATAATATGCATTGAGAGGACAATTTATAATATGGCAAATAAATAAGATGCATTTATATTTGTATAATTTTATTGTTTCATTTTTGCTACATATTTGAGTAGTAAAGTAAATACAGTTTCAATAATGGCCCAAACTAGTTTATTTTCACAAGAGTTTGCCATTTTCTCCATCTCCGTGGGCAAAAAGTTTATGTCACTATAAAATACCATGCGTATGATACATAAATATATACGGCGAAACATGAATTTCCAAACATTTTAATTTACGTAAATGTCATTCTTGACACCAACTTGACACTTTAGTGACATTCAGGTTTAAATGTTTCCATTGTAAAAACGAAAAACACATAAAACCTCTGTGAGAATATGTTTTTGCACTTGTAACCCTATTAACTATAACTATAACTTTTACGATAACCGGCGATTTGATGCAACTCACCCTAAATGTTATTAATTAACGTCAATGTTTCGCGCGCAACTGTACCTAAAGTCAACAAGCTTCGATGTAACAGAAAAATGTATGTCATCATACGACCTCTTCATATTGGTTTTCTGTAAACTTTAACGCTGGCCGTTTAATATTACGTTCGAATACCTTCGCTGTGTTGCGACATTATCTGTTTATCCTCTTTACTGATACGTCGTAAAGTTTTGTGTTATTCAGAGATTACAGAATTGACGTTTTTTAGGTTATGATTTTTTAGCACGCGGCGTTTGTCAAAAACTTTTGTTTTGTTAAATTTAAATTTCGAATTATTTATTCGTAATTTGAATTCGAAACAAAAAACTAACCTGGAGTCAAGATTATTCAATTTTAGAACATTCCTCATAAAAAATTAACCTTTCTCAAATGTCTCTAAACAAGAGATAAGTTTGTTTCTTCTAAAGCAATGCGGGTGCGCACCTTTTGAATAAACTATGGCACAACTGTTGTGCGATTGTCAATTGTTTCGCAGCCAATTCAACTGTTTAGTTGCACAACTAAAAATCGAGTAGTATGCACATATAGCATAAGAATCAAAGTAAGACTAAACAGTTGTGCGATAGTTTCTCGTGTGCACACGCTTTTAGTATAATAGGAGTATTCATTTAACGTTTGAAGTAATACATTTTTTTAAATTATTAAATGTCGCGGGAAAATTATTAAACACTAGCTGTTCCCGTGCGGCACAATCCACATGAAATTATGAAGATTTTATTGTATTTTTTCACATTTGTCAAATTATTAATAGCAAATGTCAAAATGACATGACATGATAAACCTTGGCAATCGTGCTTCGCTGATGTTGGCAGAAACTTATGGTCTATTTCCCACATTAGAGTTTTTATGGAAAATGTTTACCCCCTAAGTTCAATGGCGTGAAAATATATAGCCTAAAGCATGACGTAAGTGTAGGGCTTTTTATTAAAAATTTTAGAGTTTTTATGAAAAATGTTTACCCCCTAAGTTTAATGGCGTGAAAATATATAGCCTAAAGCATGACGTAAGTGTAGGGCTTTTTATTAAAAAAAGAATTATTCAAAATTATGCTGTAATTGCTGATATCTTAGGCAACAAAGAAGTGTGTGTTTACGCTTTATTATAATAGTACAGACAAGATATACATTGTCCCCAATTTTATGTTTAATTTCTTACTGTCAGATGTCTTATAAACGTTGATCCATCACTGCAAGGTGATTACAAGTGATGAATGTGTCTGTCACAGAGACGTATGCTTAATGTATTTATAAATTAAACTTATTAACACATTAATTATTTAATATTTGAAGATTTACTCGTTTGAATATTGCAAAATTGATGACCATTTTATAATTCAACTGGCTTCCGCCCGTGACTCCGTCGGAGTGGTATTAATAAAACAAAAGAGTAGCCTATGTGTTCTTCCAGACTATCCCCTACGTCTATACCAAATTTCATCTAAATACGTTCAACCGTTTACGCTACAAACTCTAACAAACATCCATCCATCTAAACTTTCGCATTTATAATATTAGTATGAAGTATGACTATTTATTACAACTAAAATATGACTTTTATTACAACACACATAAATAAATATACAGACGAATTGAGTACCTCCTTCTTTTGGGAAGTCAAAAACAAAATATAATATAAAGCCGTGAAATCGGAGTAAATACGCGTTTTGTCTAAGTGTGCGTGCTGCCCTTATCTACTTCTTTCCCCTTCCTTTTATAAGGTTAAAATAATGAGGGAAGTAGAATCGACAGAAAAGAAAATGCTTCAAAATTGGCTATCGTTTTTCGAAATATACTATTTAACAGCACAATACGTTACAAATGTCTACAAGTTCTAATAATAATAAACAATTCCACAATACGATGTTTAAAATCGATAAAATGGTAAATTTGCAAACCCGTTGTGTATTTTGTTTCCATACGAATATTTGATTTTACATTTTGCATTGAAAATGAATTTGTAATGTTTGTAGAATGCATGATGCGTCACAGATAACGTAAAGCGGTTTCCGAATTACCAAAACGTTGCCATCCCTCTTTTTTTCTTCGGATAAACAGAGATAGTGATATGTTTGTGACATGTGTTTCTGTAATGGAAAGTAACAACACACTATTGCATTACATTGCATTGGTTTAAATAAACAAAGGTTTGCGGTTTGTTAACGAAATACGAGGCAACAAAACCTTCATTTGTATAGTGTTGTTCCACATTATTTTCGCTTGAATATGTGTCAACTAAATGACATAAACTATTAGGAAACATTAACTAATAAGCAAATGCTTTTAATAACTTTTTTGTTTGCGAGTTTTACACCAGCCATTTAATCTAAATAAACTCCTACACTAACAATTAGTCTTGTGTAGTACACATACAATGTACTAAAAAGTAATAAAAAGTTACTCAGCACTGTACTAAAAGTAACGTTACCCAACGGCTTCTGTTAATCGGACATTTGGCACTTTTAGTACACTACACGCTTTCGATGTTCGCTTCTTCGTTGTTTGATTTGATTGTATATTTGCTAGATTGAAGCATCCACCTTCGGTAATAAGAATCAAAAGTGGATAAAATCATTTATAACTTAAATTTATTTTCGCTAATAACATGATTGACCCTGCTTAAAATTTAATGTGTAATCTATAACCATTGTTATATTCTATTCATGTTATTCTTTTCTCACAAATCTGAAGTACTAAGCGTACTAAAAGTGTGTACTAGTACGTTTTCCCAATTGTACTAGTACGGTGCGCACTTGCAGATGTCCGATTAAGCCCAAGACTACTAACAATACAGTGTTGACCTTTTGACGTTTGTTGTAACATGGTGTCAGTGTTTCCCTATAAGACGTATTAAGGTTAGTAATTATATTATTGCTTTTTTTAAGTAAACATGCTAATTTGATTTTAGTTAAAATTATTAGATAAAGTAGCAATAAAATGCATTCTATTATGTCTAAAATATATATTTTTTGAATAAAAATACGCGTTTTTAAAACTGGTTTATATATGAACTGTGAACGAGTGATAATAAAAGATGGCAACACGATTTAATAAATTGTTTTAAAAATTCATTGCAACACCGATCGATATTTATGAAATTGATTTAAATGTTTAAAATGATAAAATGCATTTTATTTGGTTAACGAAATATTTTCGTTATTTATATGATAATTTTAAATACAAGGTCATATTGGAACAAATTGATTTTATCGCCTAGGCATCTAAACAAATGTGTCCATGACCTGTAGATAATATTTCATTTCACACAAAATAAACAAAAAAGTGCATTACAAGTTTTCACATATAGCAACACCGAAAATTAAAGTTAACTTCAGTTAAAACACTTTAAGTAACGGGTATGACCCGCATATATCACTTTTTGGTTTTTTCATACAGCTAAAAGAAACATTAACTTAAAAAAAAAGTTAGCTATACTTTTATAATAAAGCGTAAACACACACTACTTCGTGGCGTGAGATGTCAGCAATCAGATATTTTTGAGCCCTACACTTATGACTGATGACACGCTTTGGGCTATTATTTTCACGCTACTAAACTTAAGGGATAAATAAATTGGAAAAAACATGTACGTGGGTAAGGGACCATAAACTACAGGCTCCCAACATTAAAGAAGCAAGGTTATTATGGTAACGGTAAGTTTGACGTTTGCAATTGAGAATTTGAAAAATGTAAACAATAAAATAAAGTTGTTATAATTTCATGCGGATGAAGCCGCACGGGAACAACTAGTTTTTTTTAATATGTATGAAAGATGTCGCATGACTATTTTGTCAACCGAAGACCACTGTTCCGGTTACATTTGCTTTTAGAAGTCATTAAGACAACAGAAATGAGAAGTTACAAACTTATCCAAACAATTGTTTAATTCGATTGTATTTACATTTCTATCATCATCTTTCTACTGTTAGGAATAAAATTAGTACCGTGCTATAGAATTGGCGCAACTCTAGATTATCGGCATAAACGTCACGTCCCTAGCTGACAGCTGTCAATGTCACTAGAAATATGGATAGATTGGCGCGTAACCTGGGCCTGGACGAGAAGTGTTGCTCTGAGTTTAAAGCGACAGTATCAATTAAATAAGTTGTCTAAAACTACTTATCCTACTCCTGTGGTGGCGCGGTAGGTTTATCCTCCACAAGACTCTATCATACGTCATCTCAGTCACTCCTTGATCATGTCACCTTCCACGCAATGTCCTTTCTAGGTGTACCGCTGTAGGTGTACCTCTCTCATAACTAATGCTCTGTGTACATGTCTATAAATAAACTTTTAATCTCGATTACATCTCGATTACAATTTCTAGAAATCGATTAATTCCTAAATTATGTGAATTTATTCATTTATATACGAATTAGTAATTATATACATTGATACAAGCATGAGATGGGTGCGTTTTCTAGGAAGTTATAACAGAGATGCATTGTTCTATTCGTCCTGGGAATTATTTTATTGTAATATCTTGTAATTAGGTATAAAAAAACTAGTTATTAATGATTGTGTTAGAGGAAACTGTTACAGTTTTTACGACGTTTTATTACAGTGTTATTACGTAATTCTTTCTGTAAATAAAAAGCCTTAGACGTTACTAAGAAGGCAGTTGATAAAATTGAAGAAAAAGAAGTGCATGTTCACATAGAGTGGAGGTGAATTTAAGAACAAAACTGCATGTACTTGAATAACTCCAGAATCTTAATTAACTGTTGTTGCTATTAGAATCCAAAAATGTACTTATTATGACGAGGCAATCCTGGCTTTTCGCTAAAGACGATTTTAACTCTTCTAGCGCCCTGGCCAAGTTCTCTATGGCGCACTCTTTTTTGACCGACTTCCCAAAAGAAGGAGGTACTCAAGTCGTCTGTATGTTTTATTTGTGTGTTACAGCATAACTCCGCCTCTAATGGACCGATTTTGATAATTCTTTTTTGTGTATTTTGTTTGGAAGTCGGTTTTTACTCTAACTGGGTTAAAAATACGTGACAGTAATTTGTCGACTTGTACCGTCGATCTCTGTCAAGCGCTCTGGGCTATCACCCTATACCGGTTTTTATTATTGAAACCGTGTACAAAATAATATAGAAACACAAATCTAATTACAAAAACATTTAATTATACTAATCATTATTAACCCTGTAACTTGTCCCACGCTATTGTTCGTAAAGGATGTTTAATTTTTTACTATCGATACAATACATAGTATAGTTAGAAACAAAGAAAGTGAACCCCCTGTGTAACTATTGGAGTTGCAATGTCAAAGTATTACTTCCAAAAAAAAATTAGTAAAAAATCATGCTGTATAAAGACAATGCTAGTCAATTTTATTACTTATCGAATTGTTTCATGATTTTTGACCGACTTCCTAAAAGAAGGAGGTACTAAATCCGTGTGTATTTTTTTTTATTCTTCGGTAATTATGGTGATTAAACCGTTCAAAGGCAATATTTCACTTTGGTATCTATAATAAAGTAATCTATAATAAGCTAATTGTTGCTGGCAACTTCGTCAGCGTGGAATTTAAAAAAAAAAAACTTGTCTATGCCCTATTCCAGACTGTAATCTCTGTTCTAAACGGCCAGATCTGTTTTGCCATATATTATATTAGTATAGATATAAGAAATAAGTAACATTTAAGTCCGGTTATTTTTACTAATAATAAGTGAAATTTGTCATCAATTCATATGCATATCTTACATCTGTACCGCATGTTCATATGCAAATCTGGTAAGTGCTGGTGATGACACCACGTTAACAGGTTACGTGGCGTGTAAATACAAGTTGGGAAGATCTGTTTAAAGATATTGTTTCACAAATAACTATGTGGAAACTGTTTACAACAGACATTTAAAAAACATATAGACGAGGCATAGTGAAGAAGATTTTTCACCAATATTTTGTTTTTCAAATCTACGCGGATGGAGTCGCGGGAATCGGGTAGTTAATATTATAAAGAGGTAAGTTTTGTATTCTTGCATATCTATACTATTATAATAAGCGTAAACATACACTTCTTTGTTGCCTAAGATGTCAGAAATTACAGCATATTTTTGAATAATTCTTTTTTCTTAATAAAAAGCCCTAGACTTACGTCTCGGTTTATATATTTTCACACCATTAACCTTAGGGGCTAAATACTTTGGATAAAATCCTAATGTGGGAGACCATAAGTTGTTGCAAACATCAAGGAAGCAAGATTGCCAAGCTTTGTCATGTCATGTTGACATTTGCTATTGATAATTTGACAAATGTAAACAATAAAATAAAATTTTCATAATTTCATGATGAAGCCGCACGGGAACAGCTAGGAACGAATAAACACTGATGGTAAATGGAGTTGGAACAAACACGACGAATTTGAAGTCAACTATTTCGGACATCTACCTTCAGAGCGCGCATGACTTTGACTAAATTATCGCAAAAATGTTTATCACGCTTTGATTCCGAGCTTATTGTGCGCACACTACTCGATTTGGTTGTGCAACTAAACAGTTGAATGGCCTGCGAAACAATCGACAATCAGACAACAGTTGTGCGCCCGCTCTTAGAAAAAGGTATCCTGTATGAAAAGATGGCATAAGAAGATGGTAAATCTTTTCTTTATAAATGTCAAGGACAGATAGACGTACGTCTAGACAAGGATATTAATTGTAATTTGTATTCCGGTATAGTTTCTGCGATCGTAAATTAGCATAGGTAATGTGTAAGATATTTTGTATGTAGATGCGTTTTGGATATATCTATACTATTACAATAAAGCGTAAACACACACTTCTTTGTTGCCTAAGATGTCAGCAATTACAATATATTTTTGTATAATTCTTTTTTAATAAAAAGCCCTACAGTTACGTCACGCTTTAGGATATATATTTTCACGCCATTAAACTTAGGGGGTAAATATTTTGGATAAAAACCCTAACGAGGGAAAGAGACCATAGTTGCTGCCAACATCAAGGAAGCAAGGTGGCCATGGTTTGTCGTCGTCATGTCATTTTGACATTTGCTATTGATAATTTGACACATGTAAACACAATTAGCGTGGTATGGACATGTTATCCGCCGAAATGATGGGGACATAAACCAGAAAGTGTTAAGAATGAATGTGGATGGCTACAAAGGTAGAGGAAGACCGAAGAAAGTCTGGATGGATTGTGTGAAAGAGGATATGCTCAAGAAAGGAGTGGATTCAGATATGACGGCTGTTAGAGATTTATGGAAGAGCAGCACAGACTGTGCCGACCCTCCGTAAGGGATAAGGGCAAGTGGATGATGATAAAATTACAACCCTGGCTTGAGCAAAAGTGTAGACGTTTTTTAGTATAAATCTAACATTTATAGATAAAACAACTAGTTACTTAACTTTAGTACAGTTAGGACAGAAATAAAAAAAGTTAAACAAAGACAATTTCTTCTTGCTATTAAATTATTTCTCGATCGACTAATACGTCTGGTTTGAAAGGTTTTTTTTCTACGTCTATAAATTAGCCAATAAGAATATCGTTAATGTGATATTCAAATTTCGAATATAAATCTCAATTTTTATTAACATTTAAAGGTTAAATTCGTGAGGGAAAATATGCGCCAGAAAATTGTAGTTGTAATCTATACTATTATAATAAAGCGTAAACACACGCTACTTTGTGACGTAAGATGTCAGCAATCACAGCATATTTTTGAATAATTCTTTTTCTTAATGAAAACTTTGCTATTTTCTACTATTGTTGGTAGCTTTGGTAGTTTATTTTTATTTATTATTATTTACTAACTTAACTATTTGATATATTTTACATTTTAAACAGCTAAAAAAAAAGTATGTTACAAAAAATCAACTTGTACGATACACGTATTAGATAAACTACAAAATTGTAAAACTACAAAACTATACTTCATGTCGTTACGTGTTATTTTAGACAGACTCTAGTCTCTATTAGAGTGCGCACACTTTTGACTAAAATATCGCACAACCGTTTAGTCTCGCTTTAATTCTTAGAGCTTATGGAGGTCCGCACACAACTCGATTTTTATTTATGCAACTAAACAATTGAATAGGCTGCAATACAATCGACAATCGCACACAGTTGTGCGATAGTTTAGTCAAAGGTGTACGCCCGCTCTAACGGTACGTATATGTACATCGTATGAAACCGAGGGCACAGTAAGTCTATACAATCATGTCTATTAGTTTGACTTTAACCGTGAATTCTGATTGTTGAAAAATGTGTCCGAAAGCTTGCCATCTCTCTTATTCTCAAGTAAAAGACAGAGATGCAAAACAATATATTATAGTAATAAAATAACACAATAACATCAGTTGTCCTTGAACTTGCAACTAGTTTTAAAGCCATGATGTCTTTATTTATGCCAGTTAGACACGTTAGGTTATGACAGTTTTAAAGATAATACTGACAAGCATAATCACGTTTTTTATATAGACTTGTACAGTCTTGTCTTACATTTAAATGGTTTCGAACGCAATTAGTATAGGTTATGAATATAAGGTCAATGTCACGCTAAACCTGACGTGTGTTGCCGATATTAGCTACATTTGTGACGCGTCGGAAAATACATCTATTGTTGTAAACAGGGGTTTTATAGTTCCGGTTAAGAAACCCAAAAATAAAATATGTACATACATAATGTGTTAGTACAAATACCAGTCGTTTTTACGATTTTTCCCTCCTAGCTTTTGTTTTTTTTTGACATGTTTTTGAAAATCGAAAACCGGTTAACGACAAAAATAATTTTAGTCTATGCTTTATATCGAGTTTTGCCATAAAGCCGGATATACAATTGCAAATGTTAGATAGAATTATTTTTAAATATCTATGGCCATAGGTCAGAATGTGATACATGCCTTTCATTACAGGACAAGCGATTAAATCCTTACGTATTCTTGAAGGCATTATTGAATTATGAAACACTTGATATATAAAAAAAAAAATTTGCTTGTAGTTATCCTATTATGACCATATAAAAGAGCATTTTTTGGCGATTATATCTATATTAACAAGTTCAGCGTAACAGGCCGATATCGACCTGACGCGATACAAAAGTTGTTGCGGACGAAGAAAACTATGTTTCTTTTGCTAATGCGAAACGATTATCTCAGATGTACATTACATTACATAAATTATGTTTCCACAAGCATATCAATTTAATCTATCCTAGTGCTGGTGGGTCTAGAAAGACCTGCCACGCATTGGCGGAAAAATCATTGGGGGCGCATTGTGGCCCGCCGCCGCACCAGGTGAAGAATTATGATTGTAATTGCCGCAGTAAATGTGTTAATAAGTCATATTGAGCAAAAATGTACTTAACATTGTCTGATCTATGACCATAGATATATATTTCCCAAATACTTAGTAATACATCCTTCCAGAAAGATATCTATACGTCTAAAGATGTTCATTGCTTCCAAACTGTAGTGTTAGGAACAAAATTAGTACCGTGCTGTAGAGTTGGCGCAACTCTAGATTATCGGCATAAACGTCACGTCCCTAGCTGACAGCTGTCAATGTCACAAGAAGTATAGATAGTTTGGCGCGCATCCAGAGTCCTGACGAGAAGTGTTGCTCTGAGTTTAAAGCGACAGTATCAATTAAATAAGTTGTCTAAAAGTAGTTACGAGATTTCAATCGTGTTGCATGCGAATGATTCTATGATCTCTTAATTAGTTCTATTATGTTTGTTTCAACATATTACTTGCATGTTTTGTCACGCTTTAGTCCATTGTTATCTCTGTATGATCTATTACAAAACATCGGACATTTCTCTCGATAGCCATCTTTGTATGGATTTCAATGTAATGTAACACGTAAAGAAGAAGTATTACATCTTACTAATACTAGAAACTAGTTTTCGTGTGCGATTCCGTCCGCGTGGATTTTAAAAATTTAAAAAGTGAGTAACATATGTGTTTTTCCAGACTATCTTCTACATCTATGCCAAATTCCATCGAGATCCGTTCTGCAGTTAATGTTACAGTTGTCAGAATTTACGGCATATTTTTAAATAATCCTTTTTTTTAATAATTAGCCTTACACTTACGTCACACTTTAGACTATTTACTTTTACGCCATTAAACTCAGGGGGTAAATATTTTAGAAAAAAACCCATTGTGGGAAAGAGACGATAAGTTGCTGCCAACATCAAGGAAGCAAGATTGCCAAGGTTTGTTATGTCATGTCATTTTGACATCTGCGATTGATAATTTGACAAATGTAAACAATAAAATAAAATTTTCATAATTTCATGCGGATGAAGCCGCACAGAAACAGCTAGTATTTTTAATAAAACTTCGAATTAAAGATGGTGCATTTTAAAGATGACCTTTTCACGGTTGATTAGGACATTTGTAAAGTCAACACGCGTGACCTTTTGTATTGAAATGTATTTGTTTGGTTTTTTTATAACTATTACACCATAAAGGTTTAGGAATACAAGGTCGGTTGACCTAACGTGACGTATGTATTTAAAATCTTATTAATATTATTAATGCGAAAGTTTAGATGGATGGATGTTTGTTGGAGTTTGTAGGCTTAACTGCTGAACGGATCTTGATGAAATTTAGCATAGATGTAGAGGATAGTCTGGAAGAACTCATACGCTATTATTTTTTTTAATACCACGCAGACAGAGTCGCGGGCGAAAGCTAGTACTTTATAAAAAAATTAAAACATAACCTTACTTTTAGTTGTAAATGCGAAAGTTTAGCTGAATGGTTGATTGTTATAATTTGTAGCCTAAACTGCGGAACGGATCTCGATGGGCATAAATGTATTTAATTACAGATTAATTTTGATTTTGAGCGGTTTTATGTGGTTTTTTGAACAAGAATATTGACTTATTAGTGCGAAGCTGTTGCGTACAATTTATAATCTATAGGAATAGCAAAATACGACTTAACAATAGTAAGAAAATTCTCACGATAAATCACTCTTGTAATGAGGAAGCATTTTGTAAAACTTTAGTTTTTGTATATCATTAAAAACGATGTGAAGTCAAATTGTTATGGTCTTCTAAATTACGAAGACAAAATACTATACAAAATGTTAATTAAATCTACTGAAATTCAAACACTCATGTTATGTTCTTGGCAAAAAGACTGGCAATCAGTCTGTTTACATTTAAGAAATTATATAAATTCTTACCTTAGTTAATGGTATCACGCTGGTCACACCATTACTGCACTGGGAGCGCAGCACGCAGGCGTAGCCCTGTCCTAGGCAGGACTGCTCCAACTCCCCACCGGCCTGGCCTTGAAGGTTCACATTCGAACCTCCAGCGAATATATCGTCACTGATCGTCTGCTGTGATTGGTCAAAGTCGAACACGCTTGGCTTCTGAGCGCTTTGGATAAGATTGATATTTGAACCAGTGCTGGTCGCAAATGGACTAGGAGATGAACCAACATAACCAGATCCGCTACCAAAAGCAGTAGTGGAACTCGCGCCGTACGCGCCACCTGCCTGACCAGCGCCGAATCCTTGGCCAGCACCAACACCAGATTGTGCCAGATTGATATTGCCGTTCAAGAATGGATTATTCACAACGTCAATTTCTCCTTCCTTAGTAGCTTGGAAAGAGGATGACGAAGCATCGTAATTCGATTGTCCAGCACCGAAGCCGCCTGCGCCAGGGTTCAAGAAGATGTTCTTCGAAAGGTCAACACCACCGGCCCCGATAGCACCGCCTATGGCACCTCCAGTTGTGCTGGTGTAACTTGAACTGGCTTTGTAGCTTGCTGAGTTAACGTTCTTGAACGGTGAGTTAGCACCCATCCACCAGAGAGGTTCGCCGGATATTTTACCATTGAGGAGGTTGCTACCGAACGTCGATCCGGCTTTGAAAGTGTTCTCGCCACCGAAAGCGTTTAAGTTGCCGAACTTGTCAGTGACTTTCCCGTCTTGAACTTTGATGCCAGCGCAGCCTTTGCTGCTTGAGCAGCCTTCGAAGGACTGCTGGGTGTGAACTTCTCCTCCAGGGAGGGTCTGTAGTGCCGCGATAAGGTCTTTCGGTGTCTTAAGATCTAGGTTGACGGTAGACGAGCATTTTGAACAACGTTCTTTTCTGGCTTGTGGCTTGGACTCTTCAGCCTCTAAGACGGGCTGTTTGCTCTGTGGCAACTCTTTTACCTCCTCGATGTTTTCCGGGTGTGCTAGTGTGGGGAGGATTAGGCAGATAGCCACCACTGTACTAAGTAGTGGCTTCATTGTTCTGAAACAAAACGAAATAAATTATTTTCTAACAATGTAAACGATTGGACAATTCCAACATTTGCAACGGAAAGTCGTTCGCACATCTTTTGTGATAGTCGATTGTTTCGCAGCAGATTCAACTGTTTAGTTGCACAAATAAAAATGTAGTAGTGCGCGCGTATAAGATCACAGGAATCAAAGCGCCTCTAAACAATTATGCGATTGTTTAATCAAAGGTGTGCGTACGCTCTAACAATGATGAACTATAATAATTTTCAAATAACTCAAGTCGCCAATTTCTGTCAAAGAAAAACCTGTGATAAATTTCGCAGACGTTCAGTGTAATAATGTGGGTTAAAGGTATACATTAATATTGGTTTTAAAAGCTATCGCATGTCAAATACTGGTATTACATAAAAAAGAAGAAAAAACTAATCTCATGCAAATTTGGTCATCCATAGTTCAAGGTTGTTATCAAGCATATCGTTTTGCACCTGTTTTTAAAACCTTACAAATGGGTTCTATCGTTTAAATTAAAGTTTTGATTTATTATTCCTTTTGTAATAATAATTGGAGTTTCTTATAACGATTTTTAAGGTGTGACATTAAAGAATTTTAAAATTTTAAATTACGATTTAATTTTATTATTGCACGTTTTTAAATCCGATTAGATCTTTTGAAAGTTGTTTTATCGAAGGAATTAAGTTTTTTGAGCATCTTCATTTAGTTTTTTTATGTAAGAGAAGGGGGCAAACGAGCGGCAGGAATACCAAGGTGGTCAACGACGCCTATGGACATCCGCAACACCAGAGGAACTACAGATGCGTTGCCGGCCTTTGTGGAAATTGTAGGCTCGCTTTTTAAACGACCCTAAGTATTAATTAAAAATGGCATTTCAAATAGTAATTCTTTTTAAGCCTCAAATATCTTTTAGTGGTTGTTTAGGCAAGTCTTAGAACAAAAAATATATACGCCCGCAAACAGGTAGAGATGTTGGTTTGTAGCCATACTTATTATTTTATTTCTTCCAATTTACATTTTAAAAGAAAAATTATTAAAAAATTAACCTTATCAAGAAATAATATTCTAGAAAAAGATCAAATTGTCATTGACCTGTTGACACTGGAATAAATTTTAAAAAATAAAACGAAAATGAGTGACAAATATGGTAATTATGAAACTATTTAAGAAAACCTATGAAAGACTGCGAGGAATAATGAATCAAAATTAATCAATTCATTAGAATTGTAATGAAATTTATTTACGTAAATTATTGCTTTTTATAGATTTTATTTATGAATAACATTGTATTATTTATACGCGTTTAAAGAGATACTAACAATGTATTTAATAAAAGTTTAAGTAAGTAAAAAGAGTGTTCCTCCAGACAATGCTCTACATCTATGCTAAAACATCGAGATCCGTTCAGCATTTTAGGCTTTAAACTCTAACAAACCTACATCCATCCAAACTTTCGCATTATTACTAACTATCGCTCGGACTCCTTAAGCTAGGAATAAGAAAAAAAGTAAGCAACCTATCTGTTCTTCCAGACTATGTACATCTATGCCAAATTTCATCGAAATCCGTTCAGCAGTTTAGGTGCCAAACTCTAACAAACATTCATCTAAACTTACGCATCTATACTATTATAATAAAGCGTAAACACACGCTTCTTTGTTGCCTAAGATGTCAGTAATTACAGCATATTTTTGAATAACTCTTTTTTTAATAAAAAGCCCTACACTTACGTCACGCTTTAGGCTATATATTTTCACGCCATTAAACTTAGGTAAATATTTTGGATAAAAACTCTAATGTGGGAAAGAGACCATAAGTTGCTGCCAACATCAAGGAAGCAAGAATGCCATGTTTTGTCATGTCATGTCATTTTGACATTTGCAATTATAATTTGACACATGTAAACAATAAAATAAAATTTTCATAATTTTATACGGATGAAGTCGCACGGGAACAGCTAGTTTATAATATTAGCAAGATTAGAACGTAGGTTATAAGGTTTTTTTTTTAAATAGTAGGTGTATTTTAATGAATCCCAGTATTATTGTATACAGCCAGTTTTACCGGTTTTATTTTGAAACGAAGCTTAGCTTAAGTAGATATTCACTTTAAGGTCATCTTCATTTCTTATCGATTTATATTTAAATGGAATTGCCTCATATTTACAACTTTTTAATACGATAGCATTTAATTATATCGTTTCACAATCATTTTTTGTTTTAAAAGAAGTAGTTAAATTGAATAAAATTGGATTTTCGACGTTTTTAACATAATATACTTACCAGCTGTTCCCGTGCGGCTTCATCCGCATGAAATTATGAAAATTTTATTTTATTGTTTACATTTGTTAAATTATCAATAGCAAATGTCAAAATGACATGACATGACAAACCTTGGCAATCTTGTTTCCTTGATGTTGGCAGCAACTTATGGTCTCTTTCCCACATTAGGGTTTTTATCCAAAATATTTACTCCCCTAAGTTTATTGGCGTGAAAATATATAGCCTAAAGCGTGACGTAAGTGCAGGGCTTTTTATTAAAAAAGAATTATTAAAAAATATATTGTAATTGCTGACATCTTAGACAAGTATAGTTAATACTGTAAGAAATTTATTAATTAGTCCAGTATCTTTCGAGTTTTCTTATAAATATACAAAAGTAAAAATTTTTCCTACCAAGTTTATTTGATGTTTGAATTTTTGTCAACGATCTTATCCCAAAAGCGAAAAAACAGAAAAGAAGCGCCAAGAACTATAACATTTATTATTTTTTTTTAAAGTACTTAAGGTCGATATTTTTAGTGGTCAATATTTTTTATCCTCTAGTATTTTTTATATCTTATGGCATTGACATTATCGTTAGATCGAAATTAATTTCATCAAGCAATTACTTAGTTTTTGAACAAACCTTTTTGTTAAAGGTCATCTTAAAAAATAATAGTTAATTTTTTATCGATAATTACCCCTTCACATCACTAGCCTTGTGTTGCTTGTGTCCCTTGTTTAATGTTTCTGTGGGTTTTCACTGTGTTTATAGTATAGGCCGAATACTAAAACGACATTTATGTAACGATATCTTAAATAAGGGCATATTTAAAATGCATATTCAAATATGACAATCAGATCGTAAGCGGCATTTAAGAAGTGTTAAGATTCAATTCAATAGTCGGCCGTTATACAGCAAAATATGAAGACCACTGCATACACTGATAGTTTTAATTGAATAGTCAAATTGTACAGTAAAAACGGTGCGTAAAGACAACTTATAAATTTTTTCTACTAAAATATAAGGTGGCAAACGAGCAAGTGGCCAGCTGAATCTACCGAAATGGAAAGCGACCGCTGTCCATAGACATCCGCAATTGCAGATGCGTTGCGCACCCTTGACGTAGGAGGAGCCACACATAAAGAAGAATCATCAATTAAATTGCCTACACAAGCATAGTTTCTACTGTACAGTTCTGAACTACTGAACAGCAGACCTAAAACTATTATTGGAAGCAAATATGCTTTCTAATCATACTAATATTATAAACGTGAAAGTTTAGATGGATGGATGTTTGTTAGAGTTTGTAGCTTAAACAGCTGAACGGATTTCGATGAAATTTGGTATAGATGCAGAGGATAGTCTGAAAGAACACATAAGGTACTCACTTTTGTTTTTTTTTAATCACGCGCAAGGAGTCGCGGACGAAAGCTAGGAAGAAATAAAGCTCTAAATATTGTAAAACAATAAACAGATATTAAATTCTATCAATAATTTAAGTACCAATGCGCTTTCTGTTTAAATACCTAGGTTATATCTAGGTTCTTACGTAAACACTAACAAACCAATGTCATCGAAGTTGTAGAGTCAAGCGCTCTTCAGACCCTCTTATACTCGTAAACAGTTATTTGCAGTTACTCTCAGTTATTTAGTATACATTAAATGTATGTGGCTTGTATTTACCTAATTATAACTACTGTATTTTTACTATATGATTTTTAAACGATATCGTGTTTAAATTATAATAGTTAGTAACTTTTGTGTTCTTCCAGACTATAGTCTCTATCTGTGACAAATTTCATTGTGATTCGTTAAGCAGTTTAGACTACAGACTCTAACAAACGTCCATTTATCATAAGCTTTCGCATTAATAACATTTGTAAGATATGATGTGGTCTTTATGTTTTATGTAAACCCTCAGGGATAAAATCACCCTTCAGCTAACTGATCCCCTGACTTGTAATTCCGTTTTTGTATCAGTTTAAAAAAAGATACGGTTATTTTTGTTATTTCATAATAAAACTAGCTGTTCCCACGTGGCTTCATCCGCAGGTATTTATAAAAACATCATTTTATCGTTTACATTTGTCAATTTATCAATTGCAAATGTCAAAATGACATGACATATCACACCTTGGCAATCTTGCTTCCTTGATGTTGGCAACTTATGGTCTCTTACCCACATTTGGGTTTTTATCCAATTTATTTGCCTACTAAGTTTAATAGCATGAAAATATATAGCCTATGCCGTGAAGTAAGTGTAAGGCTTTTTATTAAAAAAAGAATTATTTAAAAATATGCTGCAATTGCTAACATCTTAGGCAACAAAAAAGTGTGTGTTTACGCTTTATTATAATAGTATAGATAACGAACAATTTTTAGCTACATCACGATTACGATTTAAAAATCTTTGATTCCTACAAACTATAAGTTCAAGTGAGAAACAAACAGCTTAACGCTAACGTTTGGCGCCCACTCGTGCCTATCGCTTTATGTCATCGCTTTCGTTACGCAACATTGTGGAGCCTACGCGTTTACACTCGACTCTATGCTATTTAAACGCTTATAGGTTTATCCGCAGATATATGCGTGAAAAGGTATTTTGAGGTTAGTAATTGTTTGTAATTATATCGACACTTAATAGAGCAAATTATTTACATTTTTATTACACTGATATTAGAAACGTTTAGACGGATAGATGTTTGTTAGAGTTTGTAGCTTAAAATGCTGAAC